GCAATTCAATAATAAATAACAATAATAATTATTGAATATTAATGCAAAACAGTTCAATAATAAATAACCATAATAATTATTGAACAATAATGCAAAACAGTTCAATAATAAAATAACAATAATAATTATTGAACATAATGCAAAACAATTCAATAAAAAAAAATAATAATAATTATTGAATATTAATGTAAAACAGTTCAATAATAAATAACCATAATAATTATTGAACAATAATGTAAAACAGTTCAATAATAAAATAACAATAATAATTATTGAACATTAATAAAACTCATATGATAATTTCAAGCATATACATGTGAATAAATAAATAAAAATTTCAAAAACAATAATTGGATTTTAATTTTATTTACCACATATATAATGAATAATTCATATGATAAAACCATAAAATAAACCATAATTTATAGTTTTTTTTTTAATCAAAATTAAATCCAATCAAATAATCAAAAAATATAATCATGATTAAAATTAATCATAATTATAATAAATGATATTTATCAATTTTATAATTGAGAATATAACCTAAATTTCTCAATTTCATAATGATAAAAACCGAAAATATTTGATAGGATATAAATCGAAAATATGCGAATGGCAGAACTGTAATTTGGCAGAAATTAGACCTGAGGGCAAAACCGTAAATATGTTGACAGAACATAAACTGTAATTACGATATTTGCAAAGGGTAAAACTGTAATTTTTTCAAAACCCTAGCCTCGAGGGCAAAAACGTAAATATGCCAAAACCCTAACTGCCATCGCCGCCGCCGCCGCCTGCGCGAGCGGCGCTGCCGCTGCTGCCTGCGGCCCGGCCACCTGTGCGCGGCTGCCAGCGGCAGTTCTAGCTTGTGCGCGGCCCACGGCGCTGCCGCCGCGGGGCTGCTACTGCTCACGTGCGGCCGCTGCCGCTGCGGCGGTTCCTGCCCGCGGGTGGCTACTGCCAGCACGCGGCCGCCGCCTGTGCACGGCCAACTCACGCATGGCCGCCACCTGGGCTGTCTGCCTGCGTGCGGCCGACTGTCGCATGGACGGATTCTGGCCATGTGCGACCGGAGTTCTGTGATGCCGTCGCATGGACGGAGTTCTGTGATGCCGTTGCACGGACGGAGTTCTGTGATGCCGTCGCACGAACGGAGTTCTGTGATGCCGTCGCACGGACGGAGTTCTGTGATGCCGTCGCACGGACGGAGTTCTGTAATGCCGTCACGTGGACGGGTTCTGTAATGCCATCACGTGGACGGGTTCTGTAATGCCGTCATATGGGACAGGTTCTGTGATGTCCGCATATGGAACGGGTTCTATGATGTCCGCATATGGGACGGGTTCTGTGATGCGCACGCTACTCGGCGTAACCGCAGATTTGCAACGAGGTCGACGGTGACCATTACTGCTTAGCAGTTCTTGGAAGATAAAGGTAATTATGCATCGTAAATTAATTTACAGATCTAATGCATGATTTCAAAAACCGGGCTCTGATACCAATTGTAAGCATAAAGATACGTCTTTAATCCAAGATAGCTGTAGGCTCCGTCTTTAATCCGATCGCGCTGCGGAATCTGCAGGGAGTGCGGAGAGTAGACCCTTTCTCCTCTCTTCCTATCCTTTCATAGGAACCACACAGATTGATGGATTTGGAGAGAGGGTTTTGGGGAGAGAGTCGAGGAGAATAACTGAATCCCTCAACGGAGAGGTGCGTCTATACGTAACACACTAACACACACTCAACCCCTAGAGATCCTGTCATTTTATAGGCGAGAGCAGAGGGTCTACGATGAGATCTCAGAAGATTTCCTCCCATCAAGGATATCTCCGAGGAATCGTTCCGTAGTGGACTTAGTCTTGGCTAAAATATCTGAACGGAACCCAATTAGTTATTCTATTATATATCTTATTCAATTATAAAAGGGCCACATATTCTAACAGTCCTTGCCTCCAAGGAGTGTGTTTGTTTAGTTCCTTGTATTATCCTCAGACAGTCTTCCTGTTTACAGAGTAAGCCTTGATGTCACCGTAAAGTTGCTGCTATGCAATGGTGACTAAGGTTTGTCTTTTGGCTTGCAAAGATCCTATCCAGACCCCACATATGCAGGAGCCTTATTCTTTGAACTACTGTTTTTTAGTCTTTCCTCACAGCCATGATACACTATTAAGACATCTAAGTGTTTGCTTCCTGATTTGGTCTTCACTAGTGTCTGTGCTATTACAAAGCAGGCTCTCAATGGAAGCACATTTCACCCTTTTACACAACCTCCTAGAAGAAACAACCTAGACAAAGTCAACAGAAGCTGGTTCATATAAAAACTGGAGATTACTGTTAATAATAGAAACATTAAAACATAGGGTATACTGAGAGAATGAATTGCAAATTCATCTAACTCTGTGCAGTAATTTCTAAACTAAAAATGATTAAAATGTTAAGTAATTTCTTACTCCCATGGGTCATCTCCAAAGAGAAGCACATCATTCTCCCTGTCGACAAATACAAGCTGCCAGCCTGATCTAAGAGGATCTTCTGATAGACCCTCAATACCAAACATCTGTCCCAGTTCCTCACGTAATTCATCATAATTGCTAAACCGGGAGATGTCCGGAGACCTCCCAACTGATCCCGACTTGTAAACCTGCAAGAAAAATACACAACCTTCAATTAACAAAGAACACCTATATTCACCATTTCTACTGCTTAGCTCGTGGTTCTGTTGCAAGGGCTTTTCAACATAGAACTATACTGGCACAAAAATCATGACAATTTCCACAAAGCAATATACCAACCATTCAACTTGGCAAGTACCACACCAATATGTTAGGAAGCATTCCATAAAATGAAAGATTTGCCTTTACCTTCACAAAGTATTGGGATTGTAGATCAGTCTCTTCTGCATTTTTTCATAAGCCAGATAAGTCATCCACATATCCATACAGAGAATTATGGAAAAATTAACCGACACATGGCACACTCGACATATCATTGACGATACCTAGGTTAGGTACTGCATTAGTCGGCGAAGAGGAGGAATCTTTGCCGAAGCTAAACAGGGTGTTAATCAGGTTAACTCTGAAAACTTCATTTCCTGCAGTACAGTTCTTAGCAGGAAGTGATGGTAGCAGAGCTACATCATCAAAAGAAATTGGTTGTGTCTTGGTAAACTTGGGTTTCCATGATTGCCAATTAGGATGATTTAACATGGATTGGCCAAGATGTGAATAGTTGGAACCACCAGCATTTTCTTCACAATAAGCAAATCCTAAGATATCCTGAACGGAACTTGCCGTCGGAATTGATGAGAAACCTAAGCTTGAGTAATGAATGGATGAACTTTCAAACAATGAAGGAGGAAAATGAGACTGCTGTTGCACATGATTGCTATGCATTGGGAATGCCTGTGTGTTAGCATGTGCTCCTTCAACCTGCTGCTTTTGCTGCTTATTTTGGGGTGGCTGCCACTGCTCATATAAAACTGGTTCTGTTACGCATTGTGATTGAGAATTCACAATCTGCTGCTTAGTCTGCTGACAATCTCGATGCTGCAGCAATGAGCTGGATGCATAGGACTGTGGAAGAAATTGAATATGATATGGACAAAAATGGCAGTGTGACACGCCATCCCCCTGAGCAACACACTGCCCGAGGCTCGCCATACCCTGCAGCAGCTCGGCCTCCCACGCAACCAAAGGTACAGTCCTGCCTTGCATCAGGTAACCTCAAACCTCCTCTATAAATACCCCCGAGCCCTTGGCAAAGGGGGGGGATCACATACTCAACAGACAGTTGCCTTGCCCACCTGGGTCACGTCCCTCGGCCGCAGCCTGCCTGCGCCGAGTGCCTCGGCTCCATGCTTGCCGAGTCCGCCACCTCGGTCGCATAATGCCCGAGGCCTCCTCGGTCGCTTAATGCTCGAGGACACCCCCTTTGGCTTCACGCCACCCGAGACACACCAGCGCGA